ACATGTGGCTGGACATCAACAAGAGAAGGAGGGGAAGAAACGGCTGCATATAGGTGGACATTGGCAAGAGAGGGGAGCGGAGGGAAGACAAAGATACATGTGGCTGGACATCAGCAAGAGAGGGAGGGGAAGACATGACTACATGGGACTGGACATCAGCAAGAGAGGGAGGGGAAAACAAGCCTACATGCGGGTGAACATTGGCAAGAGAGGGAGGGGAAGACAAGGCTACATGTGGGTGAACATTGGCAAGAGAGGGAGGGAAAGACAAGCCTACATGTGGGTGAACATTGGCAAGAGAGGGAGGGAAGACAAGGCTACATGTGGGTGAACATTGGCAAGAGAGGGAGGGGAAGACAAGGCTACATGTGGGTGAACATTGGCAAGAGAGAGAGGGAAAGACAAGCCTACATGTGGGTGAACATTGGCAAGAGAGAGAGGGAAAGACAAGCCTACATGTGGGTGAACATTGGCAAGAGAGGGAGGGAAAGACAAGGCTACATGTGGGTGAACATTGGCAAGAGAGGAAGGGGAAGACAAGGCTACATGTGGGTGAACATTGGCAAGAGAGGGAGGGAAAGACAAGGCTACATGTGGGTGAACATTGGCAAGAGAGGGAGGGGAAAACAAGCCTACATGTGGGTGAACATTGGCAAGAGAGGGAGGGGAAAACAAGGCCACATGTGGGTGAACATTGGCAAGAGAGGGAGGGGAAGACAAGGCTACATGTGGGTGAACATTGGCAAGAGAGGGAGGGGAAGACAAGGCTACATGTGGGTGAACATTGGCAAGAGAGGGGGGAGAAGACAAGGCTACATTTGGCTAGACATCAGCAACAGAGGGAGGGAAAGACAAGACTACACGTGGCTGGAAATCAGCAAGAGAGGGAGGGAAAGACAAGCCTACATGTAGGTGAACATTGGCAAGAGAGGGATATAGGGAAGCTATAGGGATAAAGGATATAGGGAAGATGTTTGATTCAGAAATTGCCAAAAACTAACACCCATACAGTTATATGGGGGAGATGTTTGTTTTAGAAATTGTCAGTAAACTCACGCTCATGTTTTGCCATAGGAGCTTTGTTTATTTTAGAAATTGCCAATGACTCGCACATGTGTTGCTATAGGAGAGATGTTTGTTTTTGTCATGGTCAACAACTCACAATCATGCAGTGCTAAATTAAAGATGTTTCTTTCGAAAACGTTGAATATCCCATACGGTAATATAAGAGAGATGCTTAGTTTTAAAATCGTCAATAACTCACACCCATCCAGTAATATAGGATAGATGTTTGTTTTTAGAAATTGTCAGTAACTGACACACGTGCAGTTCCATATGAAAGATGTTTGTTTTAGAAACGAAACATAACTCACACACATACAGTAAAACAGGATGGGTGTTTGTTTTAGAAATTGTCAGTAACTCACACACTCATGTGTTCTATTGGAAAGATTTTGATTTTAGAAATTGTCAGTAACTCACACACTCATGTGTTCTATCGAAGAGATTTTGATTTTAGAAATTGTCAGTAACTCACACACTCATGTGTTCTATCGGAGAGATTTTGATTTTAGAAATTGCCAGTAACTCACACACTCATGTGTTCTATTGGAGAGGTGTTGGTTTTAGAAATATTCAGCAACGCACTCTATAGGAGAGCGGTTTGTTTTAGAAATTGTCAGTAACTCACACACATGTGTTCTATAGGAGAGCGGTTTGTTTTAGAAATTGTCAGTAACTCAGACACATGTGTTCTATAGGAGAGAGGTTTGTTTTAGAAATTGTCAGTAACTCACACACATGTGTTCTATGGGAGAGCGGTTTGTTTTAGAAATTGTCAGTAACTCACGCAGTCATGTGTTCTATGGGAGAGCGGTTTGTTTTAGAAATTGTCAGTAACTCAGACACATGTGTTCTATAGGAGAGCGGTTTGCTTCAGAAATTGTCAGTAACTCACGCAGTCATGTGTTCTATAGGAGAGCGGTTTGTTTTAGAAATTGTCAGTAACTCAGACACATGTGTTCTATAGGAGAGCGGTTTGCTTCAGAAATTGTCAGTAACTCACGCAGTCATGTGTTCTATGGGAGAGCGGTTTGTTTTAGAAATTGTCAGTAACTCAGACACATGTGTTCTATATGGGAGATGTTCGTTTTTTAAATTGTCATAACCCACACACCTGTGTAGCTATAGACAGATTTTTTATTTTTTTAATGGAAATTGTATAGCAGACCTCTCATCTTTATGTATGTTGATATCATACCAAGGTTCGTCTTTTGGGTGGCTACATGAGCGGTCTTCTAAAAAAGATTAGACGAAATGGAAGATGGTCGTGTCGATAGTGGTGATGATGATGATGTCTTGCTAGCTGCATGCTTTTCACGTGACTCTGATGCGTGGTAACAAATGTCTGGATACAACTCTTCTTTTTATTGTACTGTCTTTATTGTATTCTCTAAATGCAAAAAAAAAAAAACATCAGTGAATGGTAGCTAATTTATCTCTGTAGATATATAACTTTGATATCTTGCTGTGTTTTTCATCTCTTGTTACTACGTTAACTAGTTTTAGTGTCTTTAAATGCCGCCTGGCTTCTAGTGCTGCCTGGTACTCACAGTCAGATAGTCGACTCAACATCTCAATGATGTTTCTACCAAATATATCTCTGTTGACCATGGATCCATGTATCTTTTTTGTCGTCTCTGTCGTTCGATATTTTGTTTCGTCTCTGCTGATTGTCTTTGAGGCTCAATTTGACCATTTCCTCTCCTTCAAGTGTGGGCTGGCATCAACGACTGAATGTTTTCGTCTGCCAGAGTTCACATGACTAGTCCCCCTTTTTCCAAGTCTCCAGGTCAGAAGCTCTGTGACTGAATGTTCTCGTCTGCCAGAGTCCATATGACTAGTCCCCCTTCTTCCAAGTCTCGAGGTCTGAAGCTCTGTGACTGAAGGTTCTCGTCTGCCAGAGTCCATATGACTAGTCCCCCTTCTTCCAAGTCTCGAGGTCTGAAGCTCTGTGACTGAAGGTTCTCGTCTGCCAGAGTCCATATTACTAGTCCCTCTTCTTCTGAGTCTCCAGGTCTGAAGAAGATTCCCAACATGTGACTGAAGACTCTCGTCCTTTGAAATCTTATATTACTAGTCACCCTTCTTCTGAGGGTTAATCTCCCCTCTTCGGCTTATAGACTGAAGGTTCTTCCCAACATGTGAGGGTTAATACGACTAGTTCCTCCCACTCTAAGTTTATAGATGAAGGTTCTTTTTTTTTTTCCCAACTGTAAGGGTTCTTAGTTCCAACATTCTAAGTGAGGGGTTCATACAACATGTGAGAGTTCAGTTCCTCCTCCACTTCTAAGTCTTATAGACTGAAGGTGCTTGTCTTTAAATCTCGTCGACTGAAGGTGGTTCAAGTGATTTCTACTCAATATATATACTGAAAGGCTGGCATGTGTGAAATGCGTTTTCTACTCACTAAACTGCTTCTGAAGGATTCTTGTTTGCTAAAATATGTTTACTATATATCTTCTCCGCGTGGATTTTCAAATTACGTCTCGATTGCATCAGGATAGCTCTACACTAAAATACACTAGTTGACAGCTGGACTCCTATGGCGTTCCGGAAAGCGATTGCGACTGCCATATCTTTGTTGAGGTACGTAGGCTAAGATTACATCTAATACTATTTATATAACCATGTTGTTCATTTGCAAATATATCTCTGCTATAAGAAACAAGTGAGGGCTCTAGACAGGGATTGTCAAGATTGCTAGGAATAGTTGATATTTTAGTCTATTCTAGCCTTGCGCAATAACTTATCTCCAGACAAACATGTGACGGTTCTAGAAGCGACTCTGTTACAATTGTCATTAACTCTCATACATGTGTAGCCATAGGCAGATGTTTGTTTTAGAAATAGTCAGTAGCTCACACAAGTGTGTTGCTAAAGGACAGGTGTTTGTTTTAAAGATCGTTAATATTTCCCACTCATTCAGTAATTTAGGAGAGATGTTTGTTTTAGAAAAAGTCCGTAACTCTTTTCGTGAGAGTCCCTCAGTTTTCCGTCTCGGGCCAGAAGTTTGAGAATACCTCGAGATATACATGTGGCGTGAGCAGGCGGACTTTTTGGTTACACGTGGGGATCAAAGGTGCGCCGGTGAGTGTGTATCATTCTTGGTTCCTTTGTTGTAACTGCCGCAGTCAGTGGAAGATATCCATGAGAGGAAACATTGCCGTAGCTGGATACAGATTTGTGTTAGTGTGGGTTATGATGAAAGAAACATGTCGCTAACGCTGCGGTATATCGCGCTGACACTGTCTCTTTTACAACTAGTGATTTCCTTTCACAAGTTACAGAACCAACTTTTTCCTGTGATAAAAGGAACAAAATGGTGTGTTTAGATGGCTGAATGTTAGGATGATTGAATGTTTCGATGTTTGGATGGTTGTCAAGGTGGCTGGATGTCAGGATGTATGGCTGTTAGGATGTATGGTTGTTATGGTTGCTGGATGTCAGGAGGTATTGATTTTGGGATGTGTGGTTGTTAGTGTGGCTGTATGCCAGGGTGCATGGATATTAGGATGTGTGGTTTTTAGAGTGGCTGTATGCCAGGATGTATGGATGTTAGGATGTTTGTTTGTTAGGGTGGCTATATGCCAGGATGCATGGATTTTAGTAGGTAAAGTTGTTAGGGTGGGTGCTGTGTCAGGTTAGGATGTTTTGATACTGCGAGGAAACAACGAGCTCAATCGCACGCTTACCTGACAGAAACTTTTAACACTTGGTAAACAGTACAGGATTTCAACGACCAGAAAAAACGTCTAGACGATCTTCTCCCATAAAGAGTACAGGATTTCCATGGACGACAGACACGATCTTCTTCAGCCTCCATCAGTCAATCATTCTCTCACTTGCTGTATCATGTACAGGATTTCCACGGACGAGACAGAAAACCGTCTAGGACGATCTTCTTCCATCAGCTCAATCATTCCTCTCACTTGCTACAGGATGTATCATGTGTCAGGATTTCCATGGACGTACAGAAAACGACCGTCTAGACGATCTTCTCCCATCAGCTCAATCAACGATTCTCTCAGCTCAATCACTTCACTGCTGTATCATGTACAGGATTTCCATGGACGACAGAAAACCGTCTAGACGATCTTCTCCATCAGCTCAATCATTCTCTCACTTGCTGTATCATGTACAGGATTTCCATGGACGACAGAAAACCGTCTAGACGATCTTCTCCCATCAGCTCAATCATTCTCTCACTTGCTGTATCATGTACACGATTTCCTTGAACGACAGAAAAACCGTCTAGACGATCTTCTCCCCTCAGCTCAATCATTCTCTCACTTGCTGTATCATGTACAGGATTTCCATGGACGACAGAAAACCGTCTAGACGATCTTCTCCCCTTCAGCTCAATCATTCTCTCACTTGCTGTATCATCTACAGGATTTCCATGGACGACAGAAAACCGTCTAGACGATCTTCTCCCATCAGCTCAATCATTCTCTCACTTGCTGTATCATGTACACGATTTCCTTGAACGACAGAAAACCGTCTAGACGATCTTCTCCCCTCAGCTCAATCATTCTCTCACTTGCTGTATCATGTACAGGATTTCCCTGGACGACAGAAAACCGTCTAGACGATCTTCTCCCCTCAGCTCAATCATTCTCTCACTTGCTGTATCGTGTACACGATTTCCTTGAACGACAGAAAACCGTCTAGACGATCTTCTCCCTTCAGCTCAATCATTCTCTCACTTGCTGTATCATGTACAGGATTTCCATGGACGACAGAAAACCGTCTAGACGATCTTCTTCCATCAGCTCAATCATTCTCTCACTTGCTGTATCATGTACAGGATTTCCTTGAACGACAGAAAACCGTCTAGACGATCTTCTTCCATCAGCTCAATCATTCTCTCACTTGCTGTATCATGTACAGGATTTCCACGGACGACAGAAAACCGTCTAGACGATCTTCTCCCATCAGCTCAATCATTCTCTCACTTGCTGTATCATGTACAGGATTTCCATGGACGACAGAAAACCGTCTAGACGATCTTCTCCCATCAGCTCAATCATTCTCTCACTTGCTGTATCATGTACAGGATTTCCATGGACGACAGAAAACCGTCTAGACGATCTTCTCCCATCAGCTCAATCATTCTCTCACTTGCTGTATCATGTACAGGATTTCCATGGACGACAGAAAACCGTCTAGACGATCTTCTCCCATCAGCTCAATCATTCTCTCACTTGCTGTATCATGTACACGATTTCCTTGAACGACAGAAAACCGTCTAGACGATCTTCTCCCCTCAGCTCAATCATTCTCTCACTTGCTGTATCATGTACAGGATTTCCATGGACGACAGAAAACCGTCTAGACGATCTTCTCCCCTTCAGCTCAATCATTCTCTCACTTGCTGTATCATGTACAGGATTTCCATGGACGACAGAAACCGTCTAGACGATCTTCTCCCATCAGCTCAATCATTCTCTCACTTGCTGTATCATGTACACGATTTCCTTGAACGACAGAAAACCGTCTAGACGATCTTCTCCCTCAGCTCAATCATTCTCTCACTTGCTGTATCATGTACACGATTTCCATGGACGACAGAAACTAATTTATCAAAACCTTGCACAGGCGAATATTTTAGAAGTGGTGGTGGTTGGGGTGGCCCGGGGGGGGGGGTGTTATATTCTCTTAAACTGAGTCTTATTACGGAAGCCAGTTTGAGCATAAGGCACCAATGGTTGTTTTCCCCCTGAGAAACACAATCAGTGAGTGTTTTATTTAGAACATATCCTCAGCTGGTAGTCATATTTATCCACAACTTTCTGTCTTGTGTAATTTCAATCAACTCTGACACAGATGATCCTCCTTGCAATAATTTTCAAAATGTCCAGCATCTGTTCTCTCAGTCTCCCTCTGCCTCTCCTCCCCTCCAACTTTCCTACCGTCACGATGTACTCCAGTCTTCTCCTTCTCATCACATGACCAAAGAATCTAGATCGTCTCTTTCTGTTGTGGGCAATCAGTTCTCTTCGTGAGCCAGTTTCTTTCAAGACATCTTCATTACTCTTTTTATATGTACAGGATATTCTCATCATTCGTCTATAAAACCTTATCTCCGCAGCATCCAAACAGTTTTCGCTAATTTACTCATTGTTCATGATTTACACCCATATTATAATAAAGACTTTATATAGCTTTAAAGAATTATATTTCTCGTCTCAGTTGACAAAAAAAAAAAAAAAAGATTTACGTCGACTTTTTTGGCGGCCATCTCGTCCTCTATCTAGACAACGAGACTAAGTCAAGAAACAAACAATAACAATGTCAGACGATGCACTTCCATGAGAGACAAACAAGAACAATGTCAGACGATGCACTTCCATGAGAGACAAACAAGAACACTGTCAGACGATGCACTTCCATGAGAGACAAACAAGAACACTGTCAGACGATGCACTTTCATGAGAGACAAACAAGAACACTGTCAGACGATGCACTTTCATGAGAGACAAACAAGAACACTGTCAGACGATGCACTTCCATGAGAGACAAACAAGAACACTGTCAGACGATGCACTTCCATGAGAGACAAACAAGAACACTGTCAGACGATGCACTTTCATGAGAGACAAACAAGAACACTGTCAGACGATGCACTTCCATGAGAGACAAACAAGAACAATGTCAGACGATGCACTTTCATGAGAGACAAACAAGAACACTGTCAGACGATGCACTTTCATGAGATACAAACAAGAACACTGTCAGACGATGCACTTCCATGAGAGACAAACAAGAACACCGTCAGACGATGCACTTCCATGAGAGACAAACAAGAACAATGTTAGACGATGCACTTTCATGAGAGACAAACATGTTTCATTTCTCCGTCAGACGATGCACTTCCATGACAGACAAACATGTTTCATTTCTCCGTCAGACGATGAACTTCCATAAGAGACAAACATGTTTCATTTCTCCGTCAGACGATGCACTTCCATGAGAGACAAACAAGAACACTGCCAGACGATGCACTTCCATGAGAGACAAACAAGAACACTGTCAGACTATGCACTTCCATGAGAGACAAACAAGAACAATGTCAGACGATGCGCTTCCATGAGAGACAAACAAGAACACTGTCAGAACTTGCACTTTCATGAGAGACAAACATGTTTCATTTCTCCGTCAGACGATGCACTTCCATGAGAGACAAACATGTTTCATTTCTCCGTCAGACGATGCACTTCCATGAGAGACAAACAAGAACACTGTCAGAAGATGCACTTCCATGAGAGACAAACAAGAACACTGTCAGACGATGCACTTCCATGAGAGACAAATATGTTTCATTTCTCCGTCAGACGATGCAGTTCCATGAGAGACAAACATGTTTCATTTCAACGTCAGACGACGCACTTCCATGAGAGACAAACATGTTTCATTTCAACGTCAGACGACGCACTTCCATGAGAGACAAACATGTTTCATTTCTCCGTCAGACGATGCACTTCCATGAGAGACAAACATGTTTCATTTCTCCGTCAGACGATGCACTTCCACGAGAGACAAACATGTTTCATTTCTCCGTTAGACGATGCACTTCCATGAGAGACAAACATGTTTCATTTCTCCGTCAGACGATACACTTCCATGAGAGACAAACATGTTTCATTTCTCCGTCAGACGATGCATTTCCATGAGAGACAAACATGTTTCATTTCTCCGTCAGACGTCGATGTGGAATTTCAGCGATGCTGATGTGGAACCATAACAGCGAGTGCCTGCAGCCGACAGAGAAGCAGGGAACGCCAGTCAGTCGGGTCGTCCAAGTGTTTGTGATTTACCAGGACGATGTCAAGTCTGTTTGTGTTACATTGAGCACGCCTTGACTCGGATAGCAGACAACAGCCCGCAAGGTTAAACAGTTTGTTCCCTTCACGTGCAGATAAAATACATCTGACAGAGGGGATTCGCCATTGCTAATTCTGGCGCCCGTCTTTGTGTTGCTGTGGCTACAACCTCCCTGTTTCTTGTTTGCATCATGTATTGCCACTTGGACGTTTTTACTGATGACATTTACCTTTAGTCTTTTCTATTTGATCTGCCTCTTATTTCTTTGAGCATTTTTGTTCAATTGTCTGATTTATTTTGTTTATCTTATGTCTTGTCTTTTTTTTTTTTTTTATCTTTTGAATAAAATGTCCTAGTTGTTTCACGGTGTTTGCTTTACCTGAGCATGTAGCAGATCCCACAGACAGATTGATACAGGAGTGTTGATTTATTTCTTCTTTCTTTATTTTTCTGTCTTTCTTTGCTCTGTTCAGTTTTAATTATGTTTGGTTTCTTTAATTTATAGCTACTTTTATATTGTTACTTACGGTGTACTTATTTATTTTCCTACTTTCATGCTGGATTGTTTTTATTGCGGGGGGGGGGGGGGGGAGGGGAGGAGAGTGAAGGGTAGAGGTCTGGTTTCATAAATTAATTTTCCCCCCTATCTATTATTTTTTCCCTGCAAAGTCTAGATTCTCTGTTATTGTCTAGTCATCGGTAAATTCAAAGTCTGAACAGGAAAATCTGCGCAGACAACAAACTGGTGTTGCTACCATTGCTGTTGTTCTGTCTGTCTTTCTGCGTCAGTCTGTATGTAGGTAGATATGTGTGCATGCCTGCATCCCTCATTTGATGACTGATTGGATAGATGACCAGATCGGTGGATGGATTGATTAGAAATGGATCGGTGACTGAATAGATGGATGGATTGATGGTGTGAATGGGGATGGTGAATGGGTGACTGGATGGATGGATGGATGTATGCATGCGTGCATGATTTATGAAAGATCCATGTCCGATATCATATTTTGCCTTCTCTCACACCGTCTGTTGTTGATTGAACTCGACATACATGAAACATCAAAAGAATTCCTGTATGATAGACCAGTGTTTGCAAAGCGTCAAATATTATCAGAAGAGTCTACGTGGCAAATGAATCGGCTTTACAAAAATACATATTTTTTTTTCTTCACAGAATAGCTTTTATTTAATAAGCATAATTTTTTAATTAATGCACAAA